CTGTGCTTGTGGACTGTTCAAGTAGCTAAGCGGCCAGCCGTTTGTGCAGGGATGATATCTGGAGAATAAAGGTTTTCCCTTGAAATCAAATTCCGCTGCCTAAAAGGGGATTGGTGACATATCAGGGGATGGAAAGGCGGGGCGCGGATGCGCTAATTTTTGGAGTGAGATCTGAATTGAAGTCAAGTTCCAGAAGAGCATCTAGATCGTTCAGAAAGCCGTCAGGAGATGGTGGTCAGGCGTCGATGGAGAAGGCACATATAAGCAGCTTTTGAAAGAGGGTATTTAGCGTCAGTCGCCGCTAGAGACAGCAGATTTCGGCCCCAAAGACTGTGCAGCACCGGGCTTGACGGAGTTGTATTTTGAACTTTGGGGTGGTGATAGAACTACAGAACTGAGGAAGGAGCAGGCCGGGAGGCGGATAGATTAGTAAACTGTGCCGAAAGGTAGGGATCTAACGCCAGTTGTGGCATGTTTCTCACAATACCTTTGGTGCAATTAAATGTTTCATGCATAGCGGTCGATTTAGTTCTGTGTTTCACACGGAATGGAAACTTATTGTCACAAAAGGGACCTGCTCAAAGCCTCAGAGGGTTTTTGAAGACGTACCATAAAGGCGGATTGCCTTGCCTTGGGTTCTCAAGCGTTGCCGGTTTAGTTACAGGAGACAGTTAGGATCAGCGTTGATTTTTAAGCCTAAGTGCAATGGTTTGGCATCCAAGAGGAAGACAGTTCAAATAATCAGCTAGCTTATCAAATCAGAAAGCAGCTGGAATTCAATTCCCAGTAGCTGACAATGACTATTGTTAAATTAAGCAATTAGCCGGGAGAAGTCCTGAAGCGAGATCAATCCGGACAGGCGGCGATAGCAAGAAAACCAAGGGGGCAGTCAGTGAGAATGCAAAGTACTGGCTCGGCAACACGGTTTTGGCGACTGCTATGAACCGTAGTGAATCCATGTTAATTATTTCGCAACTGAGAAATGTATTCAGGTCATAATTCCCAAGATTATTTGCGACTATCTGTGTTAGATGATATTATCAGCAATTGAGGTGCTAAAAGTGCCTATCTTGTGCCCAAATATGAGCACTGATGTTGGCACTGGCTTCGAACTTGAAAGCTAATGGCTTGGTCTAGCACTAGTGGGTCCATTGGTGCACACCAACAAAAAGAATATCGTTTATGTGTTGGACCCTTAATGAGAGAAAGTCCACAAACATTAGCAATGTTGGTGTTTCAGTGGGAACTGAGCTTTAGTTTCAGCTTCTTGGGGTGCAAAATACAGACTTTCCACGCAAGCAGCTCCTCCGGGCTTGTACATTGGATATTGAGTACCCAAATTCCTTAGCATTCGCACAGATGAATGCCCAAACATGCTGTTTCTTGTCACGAGTTGAGGCATCAAAAGCCTCTGCATCATAAGGAAATTTAGTTGATTTCGACATGTTGTTGTCAGACAAATTGGCCACGTAGTCGTTATCATTGAGATTGGCTGTTTTGCCATCGGACTGGAGATTCTCACCACTGGTCACTATCACTCTTGTTGAAGTCAAATTCTTTCGCAACTTTTGGCACGTAGTTTGCACTGAGTTAAGAAATGCTGCCTTTACTCGTTTTGACCCGAATGTTCTCTAACATCCAACAGCACAAATCGTGCCTGGTCCTTGAACACAAAACCCGTACCTGGGCTCACTTTTCAAGGGGCTACTTTGCTGTTGGATTGTGTATAGTGAGACCAGAATTCAAAAAGTCTATGTTTATATCATTTAATAGACTGGCAGGATGGCTAAGATGCTAGAAGCGACACTCAGCGTAGATGTGCCAGCTTAGCAATACTCACTACCGTTGGGGTAAAGGGGAGGTTCTCCGAAGTGGGTAGGTTTCTTTTACCGGGAAAGAAGCTCTGCACTCAAGATTTTTGTGATCTCTCTTTAGAATATAAAACACTTGATTCTCTTCTTGTACTTCGTCCGAGCTTTATCTCTAGCTTTAGCATGCCTGGCGCCAACAAAAGCTTTGTCGAGTACATCATCTCCATCATATCTTGGCCAATGTTCATGATCGGTGCCACATTGATGCGTTGAGAAAACGAATCAAAAAATGTTCTAGCCACCTGTGCATTGTTCAGCTTGACTAATTGAGTCGTGCCAAATAGATTCTCATGATTGGGGCATAACGACTAGTGTTGCTAGTGAAGCCAATAATTTCTTCTGTTGTCTCTACAAGAGATCCTTTTGAAGAAATTTTGATCCGTATTCTATAAAGCTGGAACAGAGAAGTCACGCCATATGTGGACTCAAGATAGTTTAGAAATCCCCTCCATGATCATCCGGTGGGGGTGACAAATTTTGGGGCAGTCTTCCAAACAAAATGTTGTGGACTAGCACATTCGAAGATTATCTTTCGAATTGAAGATGACTTCTTCATCACCATCAGTGAGGCGAACGAGCCCGTCACCTTTCTGGAGACCATTCATGAATTTCAAATTGGAATTGAGGCGAGTACTGCTTATGATTACTTCTCCATGTTATGAAGTTGCCAGCACCTTGGAATGAAAAACCAGCAAGATAATATTTTGAGTCAAAATCTGACAGCGGGCTCGTAACCTATTGGAGTAGGCCCATATGGTAATTTTCTTCAGCGATTGAAGTGCTCATACTCAACCTAACGAGTATGGGGTATGCTTAATGAATCTTACTTTACGTGAGATATATCGAAAGGATTTGTAATTCTAGTCCAGTTATGTATCAAAATCTTCACTTTGTTATGATGGAGGATCGTTCGCATAAATTCCAGTTACGAGTTTTGAGCACGCCAGAATTTGAAATGTATGCCTTTCAAACCAGGATGGATAGATGTGTGAGTGGTCTCGTAACAAGAAAAGTATATAATTATTACCTACCTGGCAAATTAATGGGCAATTGAAGCGGCTCCCTCAGTACTCGGCTTCAACAAGGATATATTTGTCTGTTTTTTAACTCAGAGAATTTTCCTTTGCCGCCTGGCAAGTTGCACGTGTGTCGTCTTAATAAAATCAAAAACTAGTCAATTTAATTTTACATCCTTAGCCAAAATGGTAAACCGATCCAATCCGTTTTGACTGTCCGGCGTAGAATTTCATCACCAAAATTGATTTCCGAAACCAAATTCGAATGTTGACGGAATTATCATGCAACAGAGCTCGCCAATATAAGCACGATAATTGTGTATCATTGCCGTCTGAGAAGGCTTTTCCACAACCTCAAAATTCCTGATTATATAAGTACTCTATCGTGGTATGAGGATGAGCATCCCAAATGAGACTGAATTTAGTATTGCCGTACATTACAAGCCAGACTGTTGCCGATACTTCCTGTTGCAATGATCCTGAAGAAAGTTGCAAGCTATCAAATTCGTAAACTAGCTTAGATGTGACATAGGTCACGTGAACATAACACCTTATTCTTGACTGATCAACTGGATTGCATGTCTCGAGACAACCATAGTGCGAGTTCCCCTTCTTTCTCACAGGCAGCTTGAAACATTAAAAAAGCCAGGACTTTTCGACCTTAAACGAATTCCTAATAAAAAAGTATACACTCACGCTGAGATGCGTAAAAGAGCTGCACCCATGAGGTGGAAAACCCATCTTACATCTCAATTGATTGATAGACAAGGTGAAAACGCGTGAAAGAGAGAACGGAGAGTGGAATAGAACTCAGTAACGAGGATATATTTTCCTGGTTAAGGCCATTAATAAATCCCAATCCTGTATGACGCTAACCGCCGTTATTCAGGACCCAATACAAGGTCAAGCAAGAGGAGAAACGAAATCAAGTACACTAGTGCACTCTTCACTCCAAATACTTGCAGACTTGATTATTGGCACAACTGTGTGGTGGAATTTTAGTACACCCTCTAGTTATTTACTGTTTTGTTGAAGTTAACTGTACGACCTCATGCTCATAGAAAGGATCCAGCTTAATGATATGAGCCTGAGCTTTTATGACAGGCTCTCACTGCAAGGCAACTACTGGAATGGTTTTGACTACACCTTCGACCTGTGATTATACGGAACAAGGGAAACGCAACATATGGTAAAGTAAAACAATCATTAACGATATAAGTCGTTCACTAGCTGACCCCGCTCACGAGCGCATTCACCGCCACCCTCGATAAGATAGGTCCTGAGGAAAAGCATATTCACTACTTGTTTGTGTTGATTCACAAGTGTAAAGAGCATATGCGGTCTATGCTTTCTCAAGATGATAGTGTATATACCAAAAATAGTTCAAATCTGGTATTTTGGCATCTTTTAATCTAAAATTGAAGACCTAATCTACGTGCCTAAGTACCAGGTACTTAGACTTTATTGTCTCTACATCAAAGAATTTCAATCAAGTTAAAATTTATTGGTACCTGTTCTACCTACTTGGACAAAAACTCATCTGTCTTGCATCAAAAAGTGTATCTTCAAAAACCCAAAGAATTTGCCTGTTGAACTTTGAGAATGATCAGTCTCCGAAAACCAACAATCTTATTTGCTTCTGTGATCTGTGCTCTTGTGGTTTTTGGGATTTTAAGCTCCCGAGATGAGAATTTAAGAGCAGAGATACAAGAAGAGGCAAACCACTTACTTTACCAATGGGAAACTCTCGAAAGAAACTCCAGACTTGTTCACAAGCAAAACGATACTGGTGAAGTTCCACCTGAACCATGTACCGTGGTAAATCCCCTTACTAATCAATTTTTTGATCTTCGACCTTTGGGTGCGTTGGGAAACGATGGGCTCGTACAAGCATGGAACGCACGTGGTTATGATTACGGTCGTAACTTCTCCATTGGTATTTGCCACACCCCATTAAAACAGCTTCAAAGTTCTCCGGAGTCAGATTTTGAAGGGATCGCAAACAAGAGTGAAGTTGGAGGCTATTATACAGATATCACGGGTCACAAAAAATCCATAGGACAGATATCAACGACTCCAAAATTCAGAGGACGGAAACTTGTTCTTGAATACACAGATGGCAGTGTTTGTGAAGGTTTCAAAAGTGATGGTTCACTCCGAAAGTCAACTATTCTATCGTTTGTTTGTGATCGGGAGATTATGACGAAAGCATCCATCTCTTACGTAGGCTCTTTACATGACTGTTCATACTTTTTTGAGGTGAGAACTATTCATGCGTGTCCAACAGCCGCAAAGAAAGACGACAAAGCCATTATCTGGATTTTCCTTTTCATATGCTTGTGTGCGGTTGCCGTGTTTTTCGGAGGAGGTTTTGTTTATTCATTTTTCAGATATAATCACGGTCGTCAGTCAACTACACACTGGAAACGCAATTCCTTTGCAGCTGGAGCTAAAAATTTGGCTCAGGTAAGTCACCGTGAAGAGATTTACAAATGACTAGATACTAATATCGATTCAATCGGCTCTAGAGGGATTTTACTCACAATCGATACCGAGATGATATACCAGAATTCACTAGCTTTTTCAGCTCTTTTACAGGTGATGAAAACGAGCTGATTGACGCATTGGACGCGCAACAAAATGAAATTCAATAGACTAGCTAGCAGCTTATACCAAGGATGATCGATCTATTGAACTACAGTCTATTACCCGGATTTTTCATTCCGGGTAACCAAACTTTAAGGCCGAAAATTTTGCGTTGAGGCGAACTGAATAAGGTGGGAATTGACTGAAAAATTTTCTTTAGCAGCTTTTTCAAAGACTGAATATTATAAAATGGGTAAAGAAAAGACTCACGTTAACGTCGTTGTTATTGGCCACGTCGACTCTGGTAAATCTACCACTACCGGCCACTTGATCTACAAGTGTGGTGGTATCGACAAGAGAACCATCGA